AATGTTGAATGTTAATGTTATTATTAATGTTTATATGACACTCGAGATCTTTAATGTATAAGTTTCGAAATTTGTGTTTTCTTCTTTATTTATATGCATGCAAATTATGATGAAGAAAATAAATTATGTTATTATTTTAAAATGATATTATGTTTGAACCCATTATGGACTTCTCATTATAAAGTCATATTAAGGAGAAAGAGATAATATAGTGAGTACATGGAAGGAGCCTGTCGATTGAATGATATGTAACCGCCATGACTCTTGTTATAGTCTGTATCTTTAATTATGAATAATGATAGAATCAATTTATGTAAGGTCCTTAAATGCGCTTTATGATTTAAGTATTAAATCACAGAATCGTATGACATCACATGGGTCAAGTGGGAGAATGTTAGAATTAATTTTTAATTAATTCATTCCATTATGTGACTCATGTGAAATATTATAAAGGACTCAAATGTGATTTAATAATTATAAGGACCTATTGGTTATTATGTGAAGTTCGTAATAAAATAAAGATAAAATAAAATATTAATCGAATGTAACCAACTCGATGGACGTTGGTTAATAAAAGGGATTAGGGTTCGTCTTCAGCCATAAGGTCTTTTCACGTAAACCATCAAGAAAGCGAAGCGTGTGAAGAGAAAGAAAGGCGAAAGAGATAGATTGGGAAAAGGAGATTGGAGAACGAAAGGATCAAGAAGGATTCTCATGGATCAAGGTTAGTTCTCTTATTAGATTCATGTATTGATGTATGCAAATGTGAAAATCAATAATCTAAAGATCCTACAGAGTAGTTTTCTATAATGAATGAAGAACGTAGGAAAACTGCATAAAGTTTACACAATGATCCCACTGTTCTGTGCTTCAATTGCCAATCTTGCAAGGCTGGGTTTCTGCAGAATCTTAAGACTGACTGGAAGAAGGTGACAACTGTCAATGTCATATTCCTCGTCTTCCTTATTATTGTGTACTCTGTTGGTTGCTGTGCATTCCGGAATAACCTGAGAGACAATAGGAAGTACTAGATGCAGCTATGTTAGAAGCATGTAAATGAGGCAACTAAGTTGGTCTCATTGTTATAGGGTATGTTATTTGTATAGTAGTTGGCCAATTTTATATAATCTACAGTTAGTTTGCAAGCTATGTTACTGCTCTCACCTATTGTCAGTTTGCAGTTTGAAAACTACTCGGCCATGGTTTGTTTTTTGTTTATTATCTAAAGCATTTGCGTCTAATGTGTTAGCCATGACGATATGGGTCAAGTATTGGAGTGGAGCTGTGGTTCCTTTTTGCATTAAATAAAAATATTCGTGAGTTGTTGTTTAGGTGTGCAGATATTTGAAGAAGGTGTCGAGAACGAGTGCGATGGTCTGCCACACGTTTTATCCTCCTTTTGACACGGATATTTCATTTGAGGGTGCGATGTTGTTTCATTGTAGCCGCTATTCTTGTCGCATCTATATGGCATCTTAGCCTTATCTCAAACGTGAGATTGAAAAGGAATAAATGCTTTTAGGGTCATTGTCGTGGCTCTCAGTGCGGTGATCCTTGCCTCTAGCGCCACTATTCTTGTCGCAACTCGACTACTTGATTTTGTGGTAGATCATGGGCTCGTAAAATTTTAACTTTTTAAACATTTTGAAACGAGGAACTACTTCACTTTCTGATTTCAAATGATTGGAATGGATATTATCAATCTACTTTTTTATCGCATTATGTTTATACTTTTTCCAATAATGTGATCTAACTTAATCCAATCTTACAAATTTTTTTTTTAAAGAGCACAGGTTTAGGATGGTATAACAATAAAAAAGTTTGTTAAATTTTTACTTAATGATTTTAGAGAGTTTTAAAGAGATTATAAATGATGTGTTGATAGTTTTAATGATATAAAATTATGTTTAATTTGTTAAAATTATATAAAAAAGAAACTTTTAAAATTTTTAATTTATTAGTTTGAACTTTTTAATATATTATAATTAATAAAAATATTTATTTTAATTATTTTAATCTATTAAAGTTTGATATAAGTTTGCTTAAGTTTTTAATTAATTAAAATTTTCTTCCTTCTAAACCTAAAATTAATAACAACATTTTTTAATCTATTAAAATATTGTAAGACTTTTCTTAAGTTAAATTAATATATTAAAATGAGTTTTTAAAAGATAAAAATATTTTTCATGTTTAATCCAATATTTTTAAAAATATTTTAACAAGTTAAAATTGAATTTAAACCATTAAAACTTCAGCAGAAATTTTGAATATATATTTAAAATTTCCAATTCAAGAATTACTCCAAGATATAATTAGAACAAATCGCGTTGAATGAAATGAGCTTATATTTCATATGACATCTATAACAATCATACTTAATTTACTCTATCTTCATATATTATTTATAATGTTGGAATCGTCAAATCTATTATCTTCAACTTTTCTTGTCATCCACCAAAGGAACATTGATGATGACAACATTTGATTCCATAAAAAAACCATCCACCGAGCTTATATCGTATCTAGAAATAGGAAATCAATAAAACAAATTATCCCCTTTTGTCATTATCAAATAAAGTAAATGGATAAAATAATAGATTTGAAAATTTATAACAAGTTTATTCCACCCATTTAAAAAAAAAACCCCATAAAATCTATAATTTAAATATTAAATATTTCACAAAATAACTTGGTTGTTGAGGTATTTTATGTCACTTGTTATGCTACTTTTGGACATATAAGAATTGCATACTTGCGATGAATTTTATATATGGTAGGTTATTAACAACCTACATCAAACACTTTTCTAGCTCTTCTCTAGATACTTAAATGTCCTCAAACAAATGCATAATGATCAAAATAGAAGAAAACTCATGATTATAAAAATATCTCCTAAAAAATTTATTATTACAAAACTTTCAAAGAATTTTATAATTTTTTACTTTAGATGCGTGTGAGATAAATAGAAACAATAATAAAATTAACTAAGTCTACCAGCCAAAGCCTACAATTTAAATCAAATTTTTTAACAAATACATTGTTAAACATGATATTGATGCTCATTAGAAACATGTCAAGAATAGGATGAAGATCAATATCTCCTTATCTTGAATAATCGAATTTTTTTAGTAAAATTCATCTAATTAATCTTGGATTGGAAATATAATAAATAAAATAAGTAACTTTATTCAATCTTTGAGCAAGTATTTCTCCCAAAACATAATTATAAGCATTGATTACACATCATTTTAAATGGTAGAGTCCAATTAGGAGGTTTTTTTACATAATAATATTATCTCTTTTGAAAGGATATAGACGGTGGAATAACTATTTTGCTAAATTTAATAATGTTCTATATAAACTTATATATATATAAGAAAAGAACAAACCTCTTTGAAAAGATAATTGAGAAATAACATCTACGTTAATAGGATAGTTGAATACCATCTTTAAAAATAATATATGCTAAAATATATCTTGTTCCAGTGATAAATTATTTTTTTCATAGTTCAACAAGAAAAATACCAAGCATAAATATTTGAAAAGTACTTGAAGTATTCGATAAGCAAGAGACATTATTCTATAAACAAATTTACTAAAAAAGACATGTAAAAATAGTCTTATAGATCAATTGTGCTTTACATGTTTAAAAATATCAAAAATATTCATAAAAAATAATAATAATGAGACTTATTAGCTAACCTATGAAACATTTGATCAATAAATAAAAAGAAGAGGACAATCGTCCTTTTTAATAATTTGATTATTTCTTTTATAACTTATACAAATTCTTCAACTATTTTCAATTATTTTTATAACTTTTTAAAAATAATTAGAAAATTCATAAATAATAATAGTAAGACTTATTAGCTATTTATCAATAGAAAAAATTATCCTTTTTAATTAATTTTTCTATAATTTATATAAATTCATCAACTATTTTGAATGATGTATGTAGAACTGTTAAATTTAATTCAAATTTCTTTAGAATTATTTCAACTAGACTATCAGGTATTATTTAAAATAAGATAAATAATACCAAAATAAACTAATTTAGATATTTTTTTAACTATTTCCAAAATTTTAGATTATATCTACTATATAACACTTATATAAAATTTCTAAAATATGATAAACCGATAGTTTTAACTTACTAATTTATTTTGATTTATTCAGTCTAACCTACAAACTCAACATGTAAAAAATGGGATAGAACGGACTGAATTACTTATCACTTAAAAAAATTTATATAGTGTAATTAAATTAAAAATTATTATAATTAAAAATATTATAATTTAATATATTATATTATTAAAATATATAAATATATTATAATATTATAATTTAAATTATAAAAATTAATCAATAAATTTAAATTATTAATTATAATTAATTATTTTAATATATAAATATAATATATTTTTTATTTATTTAATAAAAATATTAATTAATAAATAAAATTTATTTTTATAATTAAAAATATATTTTATAAAAATATATATAACCTATATTAATCGGTGATAACTAACCAGTTAGGATCAATCTATCAGTCAAATTTTAAGCAATAAGACGAGACAGTTTTAGCATCCTATAACTTATACATTTTAGCTTCTCTAATTGCTTTTTTTTTTTCAATTTAGTTTTCCCATAAATACATATACTGATTATAATATTTTTGTTTTGTCTTTTAGAAAACTCTGGAAGTTGAAAACATTAATTTTTTTATTTATTTTATATTATATTTGTTGAAAGTTAACATCATCCCATCGATGAACCTGTCATTGACATTTGACCAAGTTTTTTTATGGCCGGCACAATAAGCAAACTTAGGACTATGTAAACAATATATATATCACTCTCAACAATGTTAATGCAGGAAAAAAAAGAATAATTATCCATCAACCACCGAAATACAACCGTTTTTAATAATATAATAATAAATTATAATTATTATATTATAAAAAAGCAGTTATCAATACATCATCAATCCCACAAGATATTCAGAGAAAGAGTAAGTCATTATTCTTTACACGATCCCTGAGAATTCCATTATAGAGGGCTACCCTATTAGCAGACATTCCTCTAACATCACTTTTTCCATCACAGTTCTTCTGAAAAATCGATTCTGGTCTTGAACACGAAGAGTTTCTAAGTACACGTTGCTTTCTTCTGAACTCTTCTCCATCTCCACATAAATCCACAACATCATCTGCAAAGTGCACCCTTTTCTTCTTCTTCTTCTCCCCCTTATTCCCAGCTGCTCAAAGAACCCACAATTTCGTCAGCCAAAGAAAGCGTGCTAATTTAAGCCCGTTAATTTCTGGTGAACTTTTTAACATGCAAAAAGCGTGTTTGGAGTGTATGAACATATGATGGGGTGTACCCGTTGATATGCACGAACGCAGAACTGGAGTAGATGGCTGAGAAATTTCATGAACGGGGAATTGCGTGGCCAAGAAAGATCTTTGAAGGCGCAAAGCATGATAAATGACTGTGCCAGAGACAGCCATGGCAGTCGCTAAGACCACCACTTGTGAGGTTATCGTTGAAGACATGATCTCCAGAAAGTGGAGAGAAAGAAATCTTAGCAGGGAAAGGAAATAATAATGAATGTGATGACTCGGGAGGAATATTAGTAGTTGTGATAATGTATGTGCGACAAAGTTTAATGAATATATGAAGTTACAAAGAATAACTGTTGAAATGTCATAAAAATATTATTAAAATATATTAGAGTTAAATTACTTTAACTTTTTCCCCAAATTTCTTTGGGTAAAATATAAAGTATTTAGTTACCTATTTTCAGCTAAATAAATATTATTATTTAATAGGGGGTGTCATTTCAACTTGACAATGTTTTATGCCTTCTAGAACAAAAAGAAACTTATATATATATATATATATATATATATATATATATATATATATATATATATATATATATATATATATTATTAAACACGTGAATTTCAATGTCAATGCACCCTTAACTTAATAATATACATTAATAATGACTTTATAAAAGAAGCGCGTTAAGATTATCGTCTATTTGCAATTGGACATTCAACTTAAAATCTTATATGCTCCAAAATTTAACAATTATTTTATATAAAAAAAATCAATATTGACGAAATAAACGGAATTAAAATAATAATTTCCCATGAAATTATTTGGTTAGTTTCATGAACTTGTAGATTTTGTTAGTTTCAAGAAATCTATATAAAAGGTAGTAAAATTTCTATTCTTTATTTTTATACTTACGCTAGTATAATATTTGTCTTTGACGACAGTGAAGAATGACGTACAACAATAGTTTTAGATTCATAGTCAAACGAACCATAATTAAAAATAAAAGAAATTAAGGACGATTTCTACCCGTTGTTGTCGTAAGTGTGAGGTTAGGGTTACATAAAATGTTACGTATAATATAACAGGAAACGTAAGAACAAAGTTTCTAGAAATGAAAGTGTGTGTAGTTTTATTAGGTTTTAACTCAATGAAGAATAAAACAATTTTTATTCCGGTAAATCATTATTTTTCAAATAAAAAGAAGGAAATATATTAATAGGGAAAACTGGTCTATTTTTGAATCCAATAATTCAACCAGACCAGTTCTTTTACTCCTTTTCAATCATGCCTTCCGAAGCATGAACACACACATGGGAATTAAAATTCCTTGAATTTCTCAAACTCTGGTTTTCCCTGAGATGATCTGAATGCATTTTTCACATACAACCCTAACACCATAACCAACAAGATGACCACAACAATGTTCATCCATATACTTGGCTTCTTAATCAATTTGGCACACTTCTTACCACCACACTCTTCCTTAACATCCCGGTCTTCCACTGATCTTAAACTCACAGTGAAATCCAAAACCCTTGTTTTCAGTCTCTGAGTCATTTTTTTTGGCTTCTCTTGTGCTGTTTCTGCCATTTCTTTCTTCCCACTCTTTTCTTTGTCATCACTAATTGGTTCATTCTCTTTAGACTCGTCTTTTTCATCACTAGTTGGTTCTTTGTCTTTCTGCAGTGACTCTGCATGATCTTGTTGAGGTTGTTCTTTCTCTTTCTGAGGCATTGGAGCTGGCTGTGGTTGTGCCGTAGCAGGGGTGATCAGCTTGGGAAACTTGATGGATAGAACACCACCCTCAAGCTTAGCACTCACATCATTGCTGTCACAATACGAGGGGATGGAGAATTCCTTTGCAAAACGACGCCGCTTGTTCTCATTGATCTCTCGTTCACCATTGATCCTTAGCATAAGAGTTGAAGTCACTTGAACTCTCAACTGTTCCTTTTTGAATCCTGTGTTTCCAAAGTACATATATACATACATAGAAGACATTGAGAAAGAACACAATGTTGATCCTTTTGAATCATAATTGTGTTAGGTACAAATATCAAATATCACCATGTATGTTTTTAAGAAAAATACAATTTATGAACACCTATGAGATCATTGAGTTAACACACATAATATAGGGTTTGAATAAGTTAAATACCTGGCAGCATTACAACGAGGGTGGCATTTCCTTCCTCCTCAGACCATTTAAAATAGGGATCAAAATCTTCGTAATAAAAATTAGCTGCTGATTGTGCCATTGGAATTGCTTTTAGTCGATCTTTTGCTTTTGGCTTGTCTTGTTTCTCTCTTTTGTTGGAGAATGAAAGCTTCGCAGTGTGCTTTTATATGCACATTGATAGAAGATTGTTATTCCTTTTACACGCCAATTCTAGCTTCTGTTATTTATTGTCTGCTTTATTACTTTCTTTTCGTGCAATCAATATTGTGTCTCTGTTATCAGGGCAATGATGCACGAAAAATTATATGCTTTTGTCTCATAGAAGAAGAAGTAATCGATGCTAAAACCTCCAAAGGATTCTAGACTGGAAATATTGGTTGCACAAAAGTTAAGGATTTTAGTTTCTTTATTCCTTTTTTTAAAATAAAAATTTGAAAAATACCATATTAAGAAACCGGTTTCTTCAGAAGAATGGTTGTACATGTCACCAAAAAGAATACTTATTATATTAATTGTGTACCTTATTTCTCTATTTTTTCGATATAATAATAAAAAAAACTTTATTAAGGATAAACACATTTGTCAACACTGAGTTTTAATCAATTTGAATAATTAAATTGTTAGCAATACTTAAGTGTACGTAAGATATCTAAAAGAATTTTCTTGGAACGAATAATAATGATAATACTAAATAAAATAGCATCTTATAACAAAAAAAAAAAGGCTTCTTAATGTTTTTTTTTTTTAGTTTCTTTCTGTACCTGGTATCTTTCTGAAAGTTGAAAGAAAGAAAAGAATTTGAGTTTTAATCAAATTTGTTTTAAAATATTTTGAGAAAAAAGTATTTGAGAAATTTTTTTTTTTTAATTAACGAATAGGTTGTTGCAGTGATTGAGAGGAATAGACACGGACGTTAATTTTATATATGTTAATAGAATAATTTATCTATAAATATAATAATCTTATTGTATAATTTATCACTGAATGAATTGATACAAGATTGTTTCCTGCTAAATATATATAAAAATTTATATTAATTAATTATATTTCCTTTATATGCAATTATTTCTGTTTGCGTTAAATAAAATTCATATTCAACACGTACTTTAACGACTAAAATAGGGTATTTTTTGTTAGTGCTGACACTTGATCCATTTGATATACTAGTTTTGCCTAAATCATGAGGAATTATGTTTATAAAAATAACTAGGATGTTTAAGGTACGCAATGTATTAATAATAAGATTCAATATGTTATATACTTTAATTTATCTGTGATTTTAATCTCTTAGCTAATTATCCGTATTTAATCAAGTTAATAGTTTTTTTATTAACATTAACTTAACTCATTAGTCATCCTATATGAAACTCAATCTTAACATAATTAAACTAATCTCAACCCAATTTTAATACTAGTACAAAATTGAGTCAAAATAACTTTTGACCAAGGTGACTTTTTTTTTTTTTAATAAAACAAATTTCCAAGAACTGCCTCTTCCTACTAATCATGATATATAAGATTTATGAAGGTGACAACACGTGAAGTTATTAGTCTGATATATTATTACGAGAAATATATATATATATATATATATATATATATATATATATATATATATATATATATATATAAATTGGATATTTTAACTTTAAAAATTAAATAAGTGTAAATTTTTTTTTCTTACATTGATTATAAAAATAACCCATTTTTTTAATATTAGCTACCTGAGTAGATAATCTTCTAAATGCCAATTTCTCTCCTAAACTGATTAATATAGATTGTTCATTTTTCTTATTTCTTATCTTTATCCATATTTTCTATTCTCATTTTGTTTTTTTTTCTTGTTCATTTTTCTAATTTCTTATCTTTATCCATATTTTCTATTTTCATTTTGTTTTTTGTTTTTTTCTATTGGTGAAAATTAATCAAAATTGACCATAAACGTGAATCTTAAGTTGCGGAAGTAACTTTATGATAGAATTTCACATAAAGACTAATTAATCTTGTATGATTCAAGTCCTTTTTACTTATTTGTAAGATAATATTCTTAGTACTAAATTTGAAAGTTAGGGGATGACCTTAGTTAGTGCAATTCACTAACTAGATATAACACTTAATGGAGGGTGAATCAATATAAACTATGTTTACCCTATTCTTCTCCCTTTATCTTGCTCTTTATGTTTTTTTTTTTTTCTGTATTACTTATTGTATTTGTTACTAAAAAAAGATATTGATATTTAGATTATCCTATAAAGTGTAATTTGTCTCCGTTAAAAGAAATTTGATCATCCTATTTTTTTTTAAATGTTTAAAAAATTTCAATTCATCACTTTCTTAAGTCATTATATTTAACAATTTGTATCAAGAGTTCTTGAAAGATATTCGAGTTTTTTTTAATGGATAAAAATAAATTTTTGTTTGCTGAAGATAAATCTATTAATAAACCGCTTATATTGGGTGAAATGTGAGTTCTAAAGGTAATTATGATGTTATTGTTAATTGTTCATATGCCTATGGTTGGGATTAATGCTATGTGGAAATAGACATTTTAGGTTGAATGGGGAGTATATATATACAAACTTATTATGACTCAAAGACAAAAAAATATTATAATCTATACTTTGATGCTGATGTATATTTTTTCTTGTTTCTTTGTGTGAAAGTGTCAAAGAAAGGTTAGATACTTTAGAATGTACTCATGAATGATTTCTCATGCATTTAGAATGTGTAAAAGAAGTTTACTCATATTATCAATTTTATATATCTTCCCAAGACATTTGTAAGGGAAAATTGAACTTTAAACAATAATATTTGAATATATAGATTTTACCACAATAAAGAAGGAAAAAGGATTAATACTAAAGCCTAAAGGAAGATTTGATTAAAGATAAAGTTGAAGGAAAATCTAATATAAAAATATCTCTTTATATTGTTAATAATTCTGAAAGGTTACATTTACTAGATAATTGGTGTTGAAAATTTAAGTGTGAGTCTGAAATTAGATATAAATGAAAAAATTGAGTAACTTATAAGTGAGAAAAATCCATAAGCCAATGTCTTAAGATTTTGGGTTGAGAGTGGTGTTATATTCTTTTATATGATCCATTTATAAGAATCTTTTTACTGTTTCCCTCCTCAAAAATACCTAATAATTTGAACTACAACTAATTTGATACTAAAATCTTAATTTTAATTTTGTCTTGTATATATGGCTAACAGTTAAAGAATTTCTATAATATCTTGATAATAGATTGACTAACCTCTAGGCATACGAGAGAAGACAAAGGAGGGGTAGATCGGGAAATAATAATGCAACACTGATGAATAAGGGTGAGATTGAAAATGTGTCATGATACTTAAATTAATAATTATTCTGTAGAAAATTGGTCTATGATTTGAAAAAAACTTAGATCCAAAAAATAAGTATCTAAAACTGGGTAATTAAAAACAAAAGGTTAGTTTCTAATTTTTTTTTTTGTTATTGACAAAAATTAGTCTTTATATATATATATATATATATATATATATATATATATATATATATTAACATTCACTAAATCAATGGTTTTCAATTATATCTCAATCAGAGGCTAAACATTTATGAATAAATAAACAAATAAATTTTTATGACCATTAATTACTAAAAAAAAGTGCTTTCTTCTATCCACATTATAACTTTCTATTGATAATAGAAACTATTTTAGAGATAAAATTATTTTAGTTTGATAATAGTTTTAAATTTAATTAATATAATGACTAAATATTTTTTATAAATTAATTAGTTGATATATATTTAGTAAAATTCTTGTTGTGACATTTTCTGTTATTTCATTTTTGTTTGTTTTATATTTTGTTCAACTCATAATGATAACTTTTTTCAAAAAACTATATTAAGATAACTATTTTGTTATTATTATTATTATTATTATTATTATTATTATTATTATTATTATAGTATGTTTAATTTATATATACTTTCTGTAACTTTTACTTTTCTTTTCTTTCAATGTTGTGAAATTTTCAAACCAATTTCGGAATAGATACAACAAAAACCCAACTTGTTTCACATTAATGTAAAAGCGTTTTCCTCAGTGTGAAAGGGCTTTTAGTTATGATAATGCAAAGTTTGTTCTACATTCAGTCATTGCATGGAAAAGTGAAATTATATATTTAAAGCATCTCAAATGAAAATCCAAACACGTCCTAAATTAGTTGGTCCATTTGGACTTCCAGACCTAACTGGAATTAATTCTCTTTACTTTAAAGCCTAATCTGATGAACTAATTTCAGAACTTACCATTGGAGCAAAAGTAAAAAGAGAAAAAAAAGACTATATGATGAATGGAAAAATATACAAAATATTATTAAGAACTTCGGATCAGAACTATTTAGAATTTGGGGTACACACAGATAATTGTTATTCTTATGCCATGCATGCAATTTCACACAATAACCACTGGAAATCATGCAATTGATTAAAGCTCTCGGTTTTTGGGTCCTGCAAAAGATGACTTGACCACACCCTTTAAGTAGAGTCCAATGAACAACACAAGAAAGACAATAACCAAGTTGGCCACTTTTTTCTGCTTCTTAACCTCCAAAACCATGTGAGAAATCATGTCAAGGATTTTGTTCATGTTGGCTACACTACTCTTTAACTCTTGAGGACCAGTTTCTTTAGCCTTAGAAGCTATAGCTTCCTCCATCTCTTTGTCATCTGTTTTTGCTTGTGATTGGGCCACCTTCTCTTCAGAATCTTCATGATCTTCCGTCTGCTCCTTGAATGTTGTTTGGGTGGTTTCACCCATTTCCTGAGCTTCATAAGAAGTTCTGTTTATGTCTTCAGTTTCTGCTTTGCTCATCTCCTTCTGTGGATCTGCCTTAGGTTCTTGAGGTGGTGGTGGTGGTGGTTGTTCCTCGGTTTTGGATTCTTCGGTTTTATCCTCTGTTGGCTCTTTTTCACCAAGTTGTTGAAGAGCAACTGGTTTGGATTTTTGTTTTGTTGGTGGTTGTGGTTTGATGACTTTGGGAAGCTTTACATATAGCATTCCAGCTTCAAACTTGGCATTGATTCCGCTGGTTTCATAAGAATCGTGAAGGGGTACTTCCTTGCGGAATCGACGCCATTTGTTGTCACTGATCTTTCTTGCACCACTCAACTTTAGAACTTGGTTAGAGGACACTTGAACCTTCAATTCCTCCTTCCTAAACCCTGTAAAATTAAAGTACATAATCAAAATTTTTTACTACAATTCCAACAACATTTTACACAAAACATTTTTCATTACTTTTTCTTGTATGTCTATATTATCTCTACAGAACTTCTTGATTATGTTAAATTTTTCAATTGAAGCTACATATGCAATTAATTTCAGTCTAGTTTGTATAATAATATAGTAAGGAAAAGGCATAAACTAAACGAACTGAACCTGGAAGCATAAGAATTATCGTGTCACTTTCTTTCTGATGATCCCAATCAGAAGGTGGCACAAAAAATTCATGATTAGGGTCTGCTGTTTCTGCATTTGTCATTTCGATCGACATTTTCTCCTTTGGTTGTATCTTTGTTTCTGCTATTGGAGAATGAAATCTCAAGTTATGTTAATTATATACACATCAAAATATTAGCTATGTTTTCTTCCAACCTAGTTCTTCCTTTTCGTGCAAAGATTGATTTAACCATGTTAAGCTTTGTTGCTGTATGCAAGAGAAAGAGAAAATAAAACAGTTTCTCCCAAGAATACTTCGCTTCTATGCCAGGGAATCCTGTCTCGTGCACCTTCTCCAAAACATACATCTAATCAAATTCTTTAATATGTAAATTAAGATAAGGACTTGAGATTGTTCCTTCGTGAGGGTTTGCATTATTCTTTATTTATTGTCTAAAAAAAACTCCCAATTAACACATTTGCTAAACTAATCGAGTGTTTAAAATTTGCTAAACTAATCTGATTGTTTAAAATGTTGAGATAAAGATATTTATTAGCTAAATTATATATTTGTATAACAATATAAAATTATATAATCAAATTTTTTTTATTTAGTTTTGATTTATTGGAGTAAAATACTTTAAGAATCATAATATCTTTAAATAAAAATTATAGAATGAATAGTTTTTCAATTTTATCTCTTTCTTGATTCTCTTAACTCTGTATTTTCTGCATATATACAAAATTCTATAATTGTTTTGGGTAAGTTAATAGGGTTTCTTGTATAATCATTGAGACTGTGTTTGTTTGTTTATTTATTTTTTTCTAGTTTGATTTTAAATTTATTTGATATAAATGATTGTTTGACAACCTTTTCTATTTATAATAAAAGTATTTTCTTTCTCATTTTCCTCTTTCTTACTCTGTCTAAAAGTTGTCAAAGAATAGTTTATCTAGAATGAGTTATGAAAGAATATTTTCCAATTTATTAATAATAGCTGGTTATCACCTAAGCATAAGCATGTCCATATCATATCATTCAGGATACAGAAAATACAAAAAATGGTTACAAACGTGCTGGCCCAAAAAAATAGAACACAAATATCTGTATCTGGAAGACAGAACATAAGAATCCCCGCGTTCTTAAGATTCTATACCTTTAGTCGTCCATGCCAAGTAATCCACCTAAAAAAATATAATATATTGGAAACAGGAAAAATTCTCATGGGATTACCACGTGCTGTTAATTGACTTTACAGTTTTCTCCACATTCAAAAGTGATTGAATATTCTTAAACTCAGTTCTTCTTTAATTCAAAACACTTTAAATTTTTCTTCTTCGTTATGATTTCTTTTATTATTAATTTTTTAATTTAAATTTTGAATAATCATTCATTAAATATTTAGTTTTTAATAATTTTAATTATTTATAATTCAATATTAATTATTGTAATTAAAATTATTCAATTGAATTTATTTAATTACACATTTCTAAAATGTAGTAAATAAATTAAATATAGAATATTGAAATATATTTTCTTAAAGTTATGATTTAGATAAAAGGAAGATCATGAAATCATTCAATTTTATATTTTTATTATTTTATTTAGAGGTTATTAGACGCAAAATTTATTAAATTTTTTGAACTTAACCTTTTCATTATTAAAAATTGAATTAAGAATAAGCTAATAATGTTTCTGGAGAATATTACTTATTACAACGTGTTTTCATATTAAGAATTATTTGATCAAATTTAAATGATAAAATGTATTTCAATCAAACATAATCATCGCACGAAAGAAAAATTATATAACAAAATCGTTGAATCTCATGCTAGAGATGTAAATCCTTAGCATAATGTTCAACGATAAGAGACGCATACTTATTTGATGATGATCATTACAGAAGTGATGCAACAACTTAACACATAAAGCTATCTAAAAGACAAGCATAACAATATATTCATATCCAACATTAGGAAAAAAATACTACCTCAACATCAAGCATATACCAGCATATTGAATACAAAATATTTTTGAAGGATAATGACACTTTCTTTTGCTTGATTTTAGTCATGACACTACCTCGAAAGACATTCTCATTAAAATATGCAAAGCCAATTTTGAAGCGAGTAAATCATATGTTGTTCAATGGTGGTTTATAATCTTAGATAAGAGAAAAATGAACCCCTAAAGAAGTTTATGGAACATTTTGTCGAGACAAGTTTCATTATTCAAAATCTTTCATTTGACATAATATTACATGTTATTTATGCAAAGTTAAAGACAAACTTGTTTCTAGATAATTGGCATATAGATTATCATAATTAGAAGAAAATATTAAACTTCTAAAGAGAAGAGATGATGAAGGAGTTAACATGAGACCAACCAATACAACTTAAACTAAAGGTCAAAAGATAAGGAGAGAAAATTTTACCTCTTAATACTAGTATAGACATGGTGTCGAAAGAAACAAGCAACATGAAGCTAATCAAGCTTTAAAAACATTGGAACACACCAAGTAATGTTGATAGATAAAATAATTAATGTGGATGAAATTAGAACTGACATACGAACAAAAAATGTTGAAAAATTTGAGAAGTTCTAAAAGACTTTATCCAAGCAAAAACAATATCCATCATCTTTATTATTTATAAAATGGGGGAAAAGATATTCTTGATTCATTCCATGTAAAAAAAAAAAAAAAGGAGAAGTCAAATCCTTGATTGTTGACATAAATGTTTTTCACTAAATGGATGGAAGTTGAACCCTTATTACAATTAATTCCCAACAAGTGCAAAAACTCTTTTGGAAAAGCGGATACCTAGACATGGACTTTCCAATGTCATAATAATAGATAACGAGAAACACTTTATTGATAAATACTTTGAACAATTTCTAGAGAACCTCAAAATAAAACATCAAATATCCTCAATAGAGCATCCCTGAACAAATGAACAAGCATAAACTATCATCGAAGTTATATTAAATGAGCTCAAGAATAAAACTTAGACAAGTAAAGGGTTATGTGCAGAGGAAATCTAGAGTATATTATAGGAATATCAGTCGTCCACAAATGATATTTACTTTGAATTGACATATGAAATTGATGATGCAATGTTATTAATAAAGTTAATGAAGAATCCACTAGAAATGACAATAGTTTCAGTGACAAAAATGATAAAAATCTCATAGTCGATGAGTTTAGGGAAATAACTCTGCACATGAGAATAAGTTATTAAAAGATGAGCAACTCTAAAGTATAACACTCCAGTTATAGAGAGATGATTTTAAAAGAAAGACTTGTATGAAGATAGGTAGAGAAGTTTGCCAAGATCAAATAAAGGGTAAACTCACCCTAAATTGGAACAACCCTTACTAAAAAGTTGATTCACTACACAATGGTTCATAAAAATGAGAAAAATTATTTTAGAAGTTGATCCGTAGAACTTTGAATGAAACACAATTTAAAGTGTATTATAACTAGTCCCCAAGAGAAAATCGGCATCCTAATATGTCATTAGCATTAAACCATATTATATAGAAAATCAACGTCCCCACGCATTGTTGACATTAGACCATGTCGTAAAAAAAAAAAAAAAACAATTTCCCAACATGTGATGGATATTAGACCAAGTCGTAGAAAAAATTAGTGTCTTAAGGCATCGTCGGCATTAAACCATGTAGTAGAAGAAATCAATGTCCAAACATCATTAACATTTTACCATGTTGTAGAGAACCCATCAATGTATTAGATTATCTTGAGGCTTGAATTAACAATGTTCTTGTTATTCTGTTTTGAGTAGAAGATCGACAACTACCATAGTAGACTACTAAGTATGGTAAGCAAGCATTGTTATTGGATAAATTTTTGTGTATTATTCTTGTTCACTACATGAAATGAAATAACATTGTTCTTATTTAGTTGTTTGGTAAGAACAACCTAACAATATTAAAAAAAATTAGAAACAAGAAACAAAAAATGTTAAAAAAAATAAGCATTCATTGATAAAATTGAGTAAATAAAAGAATTACAAGTTAAGGGCTAACCATCTACCAACTATCTATTTACTACAATTTTTTCATGTCAAAGTCCGTACATGAGACTAATGACCAACACTAGTGCAAAGAATGGCTTCTACGTTACCCAATTATCGTCGCATGTAAAAATATTCGACGTAAATAAAACGCGGTGACAATTTTGTAAATAAGAGACAAAAATTTTACGTCGCACATCCTAGGAGGTGGCGTTAAAAGCCTTCTTTTATGTCGCGCCACCTAGATGCGACGTAAAAGAGTGATTTTTACGTCGCGTGCTAGGGTGCGCGACGTAAAAAGTGTCTTTTATTCAATTCCAGACCCACTCCCTCGTCTCGCGCAACAAGGGTTTTTGAGAACGACGACAGCTACCTCTGCACACCATTTTCGATCAGTTTGACAGTGAAAAACATCAACATTGTCTCTCATTTTACGAATTTGATATTTCTCTCCGATTGGATTCGAGTTTGAAATCATTTTTGTCTACACTCGAGGTTAGTGTTCTATGTCCTTCATATATGTTTAAATTGAATCCGTGATTGTTTTTGGAGATCTCAACGTTATTGTATGAATGTCTCCACTGGATTGTTATTGGAATGTAATTATTTGTTTATTTGTTTGAGTGCATTTTCGGTTTACACACTCCATTTACGTGTTTTCTTGTTTGTATATTAATTTCTTTTTACATATAATTTTTAAATATCTAGGAGTGACGAAACTTTATAACATAATATGAATCGAAGTTGGATGAATGCACGTCGTATTAGTGAAGAGTATGAAAAGGAAGTTGAGAAATTTTTGAAATTTGCTAGTGAAAATGGAAAAGCTATGAAAGGGACATATTATTGTCCATGTGTTTGTTGTTTGAATCAAATTCGTCATAAACTTGAGGATATACGTGATCACTTGTTTGTTTATGGTATTATTAAGAATTATACAACATGGACATGACATGGAGAAATATTAGACATCCCAACTGTGTCAACTATAGACAATTTTGATGAAGGGATGGATGATAATCTAGAGGATATAATACGTGATATTGGTGAAGAAAATTTTATGAAAGCACATCTATATGATTCTTTGAAATCTGATTTTGCGCAACAATTGTACATAGGATGTAGTTTTACAAGATTATCAACAACTTTAAAATTGTTTACTTTAAAAACAAGAAATGGATGAACTGATAAAAGTTTCACCGAATTATTGGAGTTGTTGAAGGAGATGTTTCCTGAAGATAATACATTACCTGTTCGTAACTATGAGCCAAAGAAGATATTATGTCCAATGAGTTTAGAGTACAAGAAGATACATGCATGTCCTAATGATTGTATATTGTACAGAAATGATTTTGTTAAATTAAAGATGTGTCCGACATGTGGTTTGTCGAGGTTCAAAAACAAAGTTGAGGAAAGTAGTGGTGAGGAAGAACTAGATGGTCCCCCTACTAAGGTGTTATGATATTTTCCAATTATAGCTAGGTTTAAAAGATTATTTGCCATAAAAGAAGATGCAAGAAACTTGACATGACATGCAAATGGTAGAAAATGTGACAATCTTCTTCGACATCCAGCTGATTGTCCACAATGAAAAAGGATTGATGAAACCTTTCCAGAATTTGGTGCAGAGCCAAGAAACTTGAGAATTGGATTAGCTACAGATGGGATGAATCCTTATGGAAATTTAAGTAGTAAACATAGTTCATGGCCAGTTTTGTTGATCATTTACAATTTGCCTCCTTGGTTATGCTTGAAGAGAAAATATATTATGTTATTTATGATGATTTCAGGACCTCGACAACCAGGAAATGACATAGATGTATATTTTAGTCCTTTAATTGATGATTTGAAGATGTTGTGGGAAACAGGAGTGGATGCATTTGATTCATATCACGAAGTGAATTTCAGGTTGCGTGCAATGTTATTTTGTACTATAAATGATTTTCCAGCATATGGTAATTTGAGCGATTATAGTGTGAAAGGTCATTTAGCGTGTCCTTTATGTCAAGAAGACACAAGTTATATCCAATTGAAACATGGACAAAAAACTGCGTACAATAGGCATAGAAAGTTTCTAGTTGCTAACTATCCATATCGTAAAATGAAGAAAACATTTAATGGATGTCAGGAGAATGCAGTTCCATTAGTACCACGCAATGGTGAACAAGTATATGAGCAAGTGAAAAATATTAATATTGTGTTTGGAAAGACCCAAAAGAAATCCAATGAGAAAAACATTTGGAAGAAACAGTCTGTATTCTTTAATCTTCCTTATTGGTGTAAGTTGGAAGTTAGACACTGTATAGATGTGATGCATGTTGAAAAAATGTTTGTGATAGTATAATTGAGACATTGCTTAACATAAAAGGAAAGACAAAAGATGGAATAAAAGCACGACAAGATTTGACGAACATGAGTATACGTTCTGAATTACATCCATAATCAGTTGGAAAACGCACTTACTTACCTCCAGCTTGTCATACTTTATCAAAGAAAGAAAAGAGAAGCTTTTGTGAGTGTTTACGTGAGGTCAAAGTGCCACAAGAATACTCCTTAAATGTTAAGAGTTTTGTGTCTATGCAAGAGTTGAAATTAGTTGGTTTAAAGTCTCATGATTGTCATGTGTTTATGCAACAACTTTTACCAGTGGCTATTCGAAACATCTTACCAATACGTGACGTAAATTTGTTTTTTTTTTTTAATTTTCAAAAGTTTTTACGTCTGTTTAGTAGTATATGCAACGCAAAATTACGTCGAATCTTGGTAATTGATATAAATTTACGTCGGGTTAAGGGGTCCGACCTAAATTTACGTCTCCCGTTTTAACGCCAATCTTAAATACGACGTAAAAAACTCTAAATAACTTCCTTAAAAACTCTTTTTTGCACTATTACAAGGCTTAGATAACTGCCTTCTTAAAATCATCCTCTCTACAGCTTTTCTTAGAGACTCAGTATCGTGGCTTTGAAGGCAACAACCTTATTCTCAGCTTTATTAACACAATGTTAAGTCTCCTCGATCACCTTCTTGACCTTTTTAATCCTTTCTTCGAGGGAAAGAATTTTTTTCATCCTTAACTATATCTTAACCGCCATAATCTCATTCTTCTTGGTCCTGGTAGAGATGATTGTCTCATGATCGATCAAGGTGGTAAGAAGATTATCTCTTAGCTTTTTCAGGGAAAGCACCTCCCTTGCTTGTTTCCCTTCTCAGTGATGGCTATTCAATACAGAGTTTCTCTAGTAGTTTACCATGGTCATGCACCGAGCAAGCAACACCTTGGTGAAGTCCAAGAAACTCAAGGCTCCCATCATCTTTAACATCTCATGTCAAAGGGACAGGGGAAGTCACCCTCACACCTCATCCCCCAATAATCATGTTAACGTACGAAAGAAAGTTAGTTTGAGGGTGTTGATCGAGATGTGATCCATCCTATTTAGAGGACCCTCTACCCACGAAGTAAATAAGTCAAAGGTGGGGAAGGAGGATTGTGTGCAATCCAAGCAAGAGGGAACCAAGGAGGTGATGACAAGTCAATAGTTTTTGCGTTTAGCTAGAGAGTTTGACGTTGTTGTTTAGCTTAAGCCTCTAAGGTTGGGGCTGATCATCTGAAGCCACCCTCATTTCTTTTGAGGCCAATCAAACTTCATAGTGACACAAACTCTAGAGTCAACTGACAGTACAAGCTTAGTCAGGTCTTCTTGTATGCAAATTTGGGACTCATGATTTATATGAAAGAAGCAAATTTAATGAATTAATATAGGCAAAAAAATCAAAATATTTCTAGCAACAAAATAGCAAGTAAACTCTTACCCAAGAACCAAGCTTGTTAATCCTAAACAAAAGAAACCAAGAGGAGTTCCTCTTTATCTTTCGTCGTCAACATGTAAGATGCGAGACTTAAACTTACGAGACACAAACTAGTAAAAAGGGAAACAAGGAGAGTGATCAAGTTTTAGAAAAGCTTTTTAGTAAGATCATCTCAAAAATACTTTACTTTAATGAAATAAGTTTTAAAATATTTAAAGGAAGATGTATAGACAAAAAGTATATGTTGACATTTTGAGATCCAAAAAGTATGTTGTCATGTTGAGATCCATCGAGGTATCAACCTCTTGACCTTGCTTCTACTTATAAAAGTACATATTCTTGCTGTGGGAGAAATATGTAAAAGGTTACATTTGGACAGCTTTTAGAAATGCTTAACTAATGGAAGTTAACTAGGACATCACAAAAAGTAGACAACATGTCAAACTCAAAATTAGTAAATGGAATGAGGATGTCCAAATCCTTAAAAAGGTGCTTGTACATAAAGGTACAAGCTTCATGTACAAATGGTCATTAACTGATAAGCTCAACAATAATAAACTTAGGCATCTGCATCAACACAAATAATGAATGCCTTACAAATATCATCAATGGAGGAAATGGAGTAAAATCAAGATAAGTAATTGTTTGCCTTATCAAGTACCCAACTATACATGGGATTTGAGATGAGCGGAACTTACCCTTTCAACTTATCCTAACTATACTTATCTATATAACCTTTTGTTCCTTGGGTCTACCTTCACCAAAAAGGACCCTACAATGAGTATAATATTTGTGCTCTATATATATGCGATTGAGGAAAAAAACCCACCTCTTTAAAAGGAGAAACCTTCCCATGAAAGGAATCATTAGAAGAGTTATGGTGGACTTAATAGTCTAGACTTTGCATATAACTAGAAGTGGTTTAATAGAATTTGAACAGTTGGAACTACTAGAGGAAATAAAAATAAAAATAAAAAACAAAAACAAAAACAAAGACATAGTAAAAATATAAATTATCACGAAGTAAATGTATAGCAAAGACGAAATAGAAAAAAACTCAAAGAAAGAAAACAACAAGACCAAACATAAAAGATAAATGGCACAATACTCTAATACAAGAAAGGGAAGACACTTCGGTCTTCAGCATCCATGTCTTCAGCTATCTTGGACACGTCTTTACCCACACAATTAAGTTCACATTTTCTATTATATATTGATTTATTGTTATTCTTCTTATATTATATTAATTTAAGCATGAAAATAATTTTTTAGAAGAATCTCCCCTTTTTTATAAGCATATGGGATTGATAAGGTCATAAGTGTTAAATCTTATGTGAACAAGTACTCATAAGCATTTCTTTTGCTAGGAACAGCAATAATCCTAATATTTTTTATTCCATAGTTAGTCCTATAATTTTCATAATAGATGTAGATTTTATAAGAATAATTTTTAGATAATTTATTTAAAAATACATAAACTTTTTTTTAAATAATACTCATGAATATCCGTCACATCAAAATTTCGAAAGTATATTTTAAATGGATACATAGTAGGTAAATAAAAGATAACGGAACAAACTTTTTTTATATATAGATAACAAAAAGACTATAGGTGCTGTTTGCCTCAATCCCAATATGGACATATTCAAAAATCCTTTTGACCGATTCCATATTTATTTTTTCTTCCAATACAAAATATAAAATTTCAAAAGAAAAAGTCGAAGAATGCACAATAATAATGAAGTTTAAATGACTTTGAATGACGGAATGGATGTAACTGTATTCTTATTCTATTATCTGACGCAAAATGTCCTATGTGTTCGGTAACCCAGTTCAGAAAATGTAAACATATAATTCAACATGCTATATTATAGATAGTACTGGGGAAGTTTTATGTTGAGGTTGGTGGAGAGAGGTTGTAAAAAAGAATATAGACAAATGTATATTAATTATAATTTTGAAGCCTTTCCTGAGACCATTTCCTTGCATTGACTTGATCTGGTATATTAGCCAACAACTTGGAGATTAAAATATGACAACCCAGTGATGTTGTTCGGTGAAGTTCCTCTATTAATAATTCGGGGTTAACCTCTCTGTCTTCTATATATTGAAGGCAGATAGAAGGCACTTTCAGGCCATTCTTAATTCTCAGAAACAGAAAGATCCATCAACCAGGGGCGATCTGAAACACACATATATAGGATTTATAACAAGATGGGTCAGTTACATAACATGGTGATTTTTGTAGCAATTGCAGTTGCTGCAACAATACTACAAGGCACAGAAGCTGCAGACTACACAGTTGGGGGCAACACTGGTTGGATAAGTGCTCCTTCTGGTGGCGCGTCGTTTTATTCCAACTGGGCTTCCAATATTACATTCAAAGAAGGCGATGTCCTTGGTGAGTACCAGTATCATCATACCAATTGCTTCACTGGGTTGGTCTTTCAATTATAAAAAATTAAAAACCAAGAATCTTAATAACGTGATGATGTTTGATTATTGCAGTGTTCAGATTCACCACAGGCCACACCGTGGCCGAACTTAACGACAAAGCAAGCTTTGACAATTGCAACGTGAACCAAAATCAAGAAGTGCTTACCACATCACCAGCTAGAGTCACACTTAATCGTACTGGGGAGTTCTATTTTGCATGCACCGTCCAAGGCCATTGCAGCAGTGGCCAAAAACTGAGCGTAAATGTCACAGGCTCTTCTTCACCTTCACCCTCATCACCGCCTGGTTCTGGAACCACTCCTACTTCACCAGCAACACCAGCAACGCCATCACCTCAATCACCCCCCAGTAACCCAGGTTCAACTCCACCGCCTCCATCACCGGGCTCAGCTACCTCCCTGGCCGCTACTTTCTCTCTTCTCTTCATCGTCCTTGTAATCAACTCATTGTTCTAAACTTTGCTTCTGGTTTATTTGTGTTTCTGTCCATCTTCATTAGTATGCTGGGGTTGTTTCAACTTCTGTGTTGGATTTTACACACTTCAGTGAGGGATACACGTATAGGTTGACTTCATTATTCGTCTAGATGGTATTTTTGTAGGGTGAAATAAATTTGCTCTAGTTCGAGCTGCTGGGATTGTTAATTTGTTTGATTATGTGTGTGGATGAATAAACAGTTAATTGTCATATCGTGGACTATTTCTCCATCATTCCATGGTTATTTTATTTGTAAATTATTATTGATTTTGATACAAGTCCTACTTTTCCACTATCCATTATTTTAAAGATTGGTGTAACGTACAAAATATAAATACTCCTATTCCTGAAAAGTTCAACTTCCAACCACTTTCTATATATATATATATATATATATATATATATATATATATATATATATATATATATATATATATATATATATATATATATATATATATATATATATATATATATTATATTCACTGCGTAAGTTAAAAACTTATTATTTTGTAAATAATAAAAGGATTTTTTAAAAACAAATATTAAAAAATGACTTGGGTAAACCGGTAAATAGGATAATAGATAAAACTTAACTTTTATATTGATTCACTTAATTTAAACTACACCCATTTGTCTTCTAATAAATTATTAAAAAAATTTATTATAATTAATTAATTGCAATCAAATATTATTTATTATCACCAAAATTAATTTTTAAATATCATTTAACTTCCTTTAAATCAAAAAATTAGAACACAATTATTAATGTGAACAATGGATTGAAGAGAATACAAAAATAAATACAAAATTCTACTAAGTTTTTAATTATATATTGTTTGAAAGTATTTTATATATATATATATATATATATATATATATATATATATATAAATTCAAGAAAGAAAACTCATTATTTTATTCGTCGGTCTTGTGTTGTTTTCGTTTTTATGTCGTAGATAAATAAAAATAACCTTACATTTTCTAGAAGTTCTTAGGATAACAACTTTAGGTGTGGCAGATGGCAGATTCATTTCCGTGGTGTTAGAAATAAATAAGACAAAAATATCAATTTATTCTCCCAAAAATATGATTTTAAACTCATTATATCCTCTTATATTTATAAGAGTTTGAAGATAAATTGTTTTTTTAGGAAGAGATAATAAGTTCAAGTACCGTCATTAATAGCTCGACGTTGAACGACATAAACTCCTCCACACCTTTCAATATTCTGGTAAAATTATGAACTCAGTCTCCTATCATTTATGAATAATTTATATATATAATTTTTTCTTAATTCATAAAAATATTTTTAAAAAAATTATAATGGAAAAAAATTGGAAGTGGATGTGATAATTAATTCTAATAATATTATACAACATTCAAAAGAATAATATTAAAGTATTTTAATTTAAAATCTAAACAAATTTATTTTCGATTATTTGTTCAAAACAATTTCTTACCAAACATGTTTTTGTTTTTCTTTTCAAAGGTAAAGAAGACACAATTTTACGAAAATGACACACGTGTCCGTGCTTTTATGTGTGTGTTTAATGTCTATTTAAAAGAATAAAATTAAAACGCTATTAATATTTACTTGTGTAATATTTAAAATAAATATTTATTTTATAAATTATAATGAACAAGTATTTTTAAAATAAACTATATTATGATCAGTAAGTAAATTAAATAAATATTTTAATAATATAAATTATATTATAGATTAGTGATTAATGATAAATAATTTATATTGTGGTAATATTATTTTAAGAAATTTTTTTGTTAAACATTTTTATTTAAAACTATTAAAAATATCAGATATATAGATAAATATAAAACAAAGATTTTTCTTATTTATATATTACAGATGTAAATATTTACTAATTTTCCTCACACCATTCTGTTAACAAAACGTTCAAATATATTAATATAAAGAATGATGTTTTGAAGGAAATAAAATTCAAACATAAAGTATCAATATGTTTATTTATATAAATAATTGTATGTGTTTAATAATTAATGAAATAACAGTCATTAATAAACCCTATCAATATATATATATATATATATATATATATATATATATATATATATATATATATATATATATTACATTTTCACCTTATAACTTTGTCTATTTAACTTTTTTTTTATGTTTAAGATATTATTTAGTTTTTCATCTAATTTTTTACTTTTAGTTTAATTTTTAGGTTTTTGTGTTAGTTTCTTAATATTTCTTTGTTAAATTAAATTATTAAAAAGAATCTAGTCTAATTTCTCGAAGAATGTACGTGAATTATTCTAAATTATCATATATAAGAATTTGATTTCTCCTTTTAAATAATTATTTTAACTAAATTATATAACTTATCTAAAATAAATACTTAAAAGGTATACAAATTATTATTTTAAAATAAAAAACTTATTTGAAACATAAAAATAAAAATTATATTTCAATCATCTTACAACAATCATTAAGAGTTTAAGTTATGGAAGAGTAAAAATAATATAATGTTTAATTTAATCTTTTAAAATTTTAAAATTTATAAAAAATTCAATTTAATTTTTAAATTTAAATAAATTAAAATCAAGTTTTTATAAATAATTTAAATCTCTCATAATTATTTTCTATTTCAAATAAATTCTTATATGTTATCACTTAAATACAATTTAGTCTCTTTATTTTATAATAAATAAAATTTAATTATATATATAAAGATTAAATTACATTTTAATAATATTATTAAATTATTTATTTTAACTTTTAATATTTAAGGAATAAATAATATATATATATATATATATATATAATTTAAAAAACCAAAAAATCATTAAACCTTATATGTTTCTTACTCTTCTTATTTATACATGACTAATTTATTTTAATTTGATTACAAACTATAAAATTTAAAAAATATATAAATTTATTTTAAATAAAATATTTATTAATAAATTAGACAGCTATTTATTAATTAAAAATATTAAATTTCTCTTAATACTGTCTTTTATTTATTTTTTAAATACTAGTTATTTATAGTTAACCCGAGAGTCTTCAAAACCGAGCATGAGCTCATCAGCGTAGCATACCAACTGAGCGCCGTCTAGCCGGAGGCACGGAATCTGTGGTGATCGCGCGTTCAAATTCTTGAAGACTAAAAGCGCTTCCTTCTCTTCATTTCACAGGTATGTCACTATGGACACTGCAACTCGTCTCAATAATTCTCCGCCATGTATGCACTCATTCTATGTGTTTGATAAAATGCCTGCGATGTCTGAATGGTGTTTACGTGACCTAGTTAGTGTTTCAGGGTACCGGGAACAAACCACTGTTATCCTTTCGGTTCAAGTTTGGATTTTTGGTCATTGGGATCATTGGGTCACTTCAAGTTTGGATTTTACGTGTTAGCGTTGGCAGCAGGTCTGTTCCTAATTTACTCAATTTTATTTATTATATTAATTCAATAGGTTATGAATTTCCATACCTATGGCCACGTACATCACGTGAAGATTTGTTTGTAGAGTATGAATTGCTTTCTAAGGGATTTGATTTGATTTATCTTTTGCTGGGTTATTGGATAACGAGATGTTTAATCATCAGTTTATACGTTGTTCTTTTTTAAAATTATTTTTAATAAACCAGACTTCTTTTCGTGTTGTGCTTGTACCTGGGAGCCTGGCATTGGTGGCTCACATATTTGACTGATTTATTTATGTATTGTTTTCTGAGTCTTGAGACGCTTTAAAGTTTGCACTGTGAAAACGGCAGGGAACAACCTTAAAATTGTTAGACAGTGAGAAACCGAGAGCAATATTTGCTACTTGTTGTCTGTCTATCATTAACCGGATAAAATACAACAGTGATGGTTGAAATTTACCGATTATATGGTAGATTCATATGCTTTCTCATAATTTTTGTATCTCTGCTGGGGTGGGCATGTTAGAGCAATGTCTGGTAAATTATAATAGGGGGATGGGGGTTTTTCTTTTTTACTTCACCCTTAGTTTGGGATTTGATGAATATGTGTTTTGCATTCTAGAAAGAACAAAGGGGAGAAAATGAACAAGGATAAGATCTTCAAGTTAGCAAAGGGGTTCAGGGGTAGAGCCAAGAATTGCATAAGGATAGCAAGGGAGAGAGTGGAGAAGGCTTTGCAATATTCTTACAGAGACCGCCGTAACAAAAAGAGGGACATGCGATCTCTGTGGATCCAAAGGATCAATGCTGGGACCCGAGTTCATGGGGTATTTCTTCTCACTTCGTTCCTTCTCTAGCTCATCCATAATCTTTCACTTACATAACCAAGAAATTCAATCTTGCTAGTTTTCAAACGTTAAAGTATGTTTATTAGAGAGAAATAATTATTACTATTGCATTTGCATATTTGGGAATTTCTGCTGTCAGAAAACCAAACATAGTATAAAATCTTGGTGATAAAATTATTATGATTTTGATCCGTGTGGTAATTCTTATACATACATACATACATACATGTATAATTCTAGCAATATCTACACTTTAATTTTCTTCCGGAGCTTGTAATATAGAGATGTTACATATACACATGTTTTATACACACACATTAGCAATATCTCCACTTGAAAGCTTTGCCAGAGCTTGTATTACCCATATGTTATTATATATACATGTCTAACTTTAGCAATACCTTCACATGAAAGCTCCGCCAGAGCTTGGAATGTCAAAGATTTTATTATATATACATGTCTAACTATAGCTACACCACTCCATGAAAACTCTGGCAGTAGACCTGTTCTTCATATATAAACTATTACTTCATTTTCATCAAATGAGGTATTTAATCTTCTGCCATTTCCTATGTCGAACATTTTTTTTCCTTTATTTGCCAGGTCAATTATGGGAACTTCATGCATGGGCTGATGAAGGAGAATATCCAACTTAACCGAAAGGTTCTGTCAGAGTTATCTATGCATGAACCTTATAGCTTCAAGTCTTTGGTAGATATATCACGAAATGCATTTCCAGGAAACAAGAATGTGGTGATTCCTCCTAGAAAGGTTGCCTTTTAGTAGACGTGGGACTTTAGCAAACATTTAGTGGTAGTTTATGTTAGAATCTTGAACAAATTTTGAGGATTTCTTGTTTCGAACACTATCGTTCAATTTTTTATGCCTGTAATTCAAGGATATGCATTGTGTACTTCTTTATCTATAAGTTCTTCCTCTCTTTCGCTACCCTTTCAATTGGTTTGGTGTCAGAAATATTGTACAATAAAAATCCTCAATCCCAATCACGGTCGATTTCATGGATCATTTGCTGTCATTGTTAGCCTCTACCAAAAATTAGATTTTTTTTACACTTGTTAAAAATGGGAAGAACAGTTGTGTCCTAAGTTTTTTTCTTCTTAGGACTGCACCTGAAATCTGTGAAGTTGAAAATCATAACGCTTTTTGTTTCATCCGGATCCTTAGCAATCATCGCTATTATTTAAGTATCCGAACATATTAAAATGTTAATTCATATGATAAAATTGTCAAGGACATGACAGTATATGTTATTTTAAATGACATGCTTCTTTTTTGGTGCTAGATGGAGTTTCTCAAAGGCCTTCATGTGCGTCTAATTTTAATAGATACGGCTGAATCACTACTGGACGGCCAGTGATGAGAACATTGGTAATGGTGCTTGGACCTGGCTCAGCTAGAGCTGGATTCAAGCTATCACCAAATATTTCTGCATATGGGGTTCACCGACAATGACTATGACATTAAAAAAGTTGTTGAACTTGACAAAGTTGGAGTCAGGATATTCCTTGTAGACAACTTTTGTAGGAGGATGCATTGTTTGTTTTACAGCATCAGGGATTGTTGTACCTGTTAGGAAAAATGATATTCTTTATCAAAGATTACCGTAACTATCCTCCAAAAGAAAACCATAATCAAATTATATAAGTTCCACCAACAACCACATCCACATCCACCATCATACAAAATATCCAACACCTACCATTAACCCTCTACCTCTAAGAAACTATCAAGAAACCTCTAAGAATGTATCCTAAAGCCTCTTGACCCAACCAAATCATGTTCCTTACTCATCCATTAGGGGACCAAGCCAAAACTTAGTCCATATCTAACCAAGAAACAACTAGGAGCAAGATTCATCCTTCTTTAAGCATCGTTCGGTCTTGTCAGTTGACAAATCCTCTTTATCTCTAATTGATATAAATAACACAATTATTCTTCAACGCGTAGCATTCACAAGTATTATCAACCTTAAAAATAAGTTTGAAGATACAGTTAAGCTCTCAAAAAGAAAATATTACAATGTGAAACTCCTAAGTAAGAGAAATATAAACTTCACTATGGAAAGATTATAAATTTGGTTCTGGCAAAACTAACATGTTTATCTTGGAATTGGTAAGGTTCTTGGTAAATCTTGCTTGGTTTCTTGAAGCTCTCTTGATGATTCTTGAAGTCATGGCTCACCAAAGCTTTTGTTTGATATTTGATAAGAATAACTTCTTTTTTTCTATTGAATATTACATACAACGTGCATGGAAATGTACTTGATAGTATTATACAACAATAGGAAAAAAAAAATTACGATCAATAAAATCCTATTGCCACAACGCAAAGCTCCTTTAAAGAGACAGAGCTTTCCATTCTTTTCTAACAACTTAACTTTTATTCTCCCCTTCTCACTGCTCATTCCCGTTAATGAGTAATAACTAATTCTTATATTCGTGTTTCCCTTGCCACCTCAATATCCATGATGATTCCTCTCTTACTCCCTCTAGAATAGACACGCCACAACTTCGTGACACTTGGTCTTGATGTAGCAATTGGTCCATTGTGCCTCTAACTTGGTTAAGAGTTCAAACACTACCTCCTTTCTTAGAAATAATCTTGTCAGTACAATTTCCATAAGATCAACTAGCAATTATATGTTTGGTTCATTTCTAATCTTTCAAGTAGCTTTATAGAAACTTTGTTTGTAAGCTAGGGATGTTACTAATTAAGTTAGAAGTTGCTAGTTATATTCTATGAGTAACTTAATATGAAAGAATATTTAGTTCCTTAGCTCAAGGAGTTAAAAAGATTTTATGTACACTAGTATAAACTAAAAGTGGCAGAGAATCTTACTTATTGCAATTAGTTAATATTACAATGGTATCTTTCCATCGTTACTTAAAAGAGAATTAAATATAGTTTAGATTGACTTAAGTAGTATAAAAATAAGTGATTTCTTTATTTCCTATTTTTCTCTTTATACTATATTGTTTTTGAATAAACTATCTCTTAAAAAGTTTGGTAAATATCTTCTATTTAAAAGAGATAAGATCATAGACTTTCATTTTATATCTAATGAGGTTTTTAAGCACCTTATCTATTAGTTATTGGTATGATGGACACTAGAATAGCTCCTTTCATGATGAATGTCCTCATCTCCTCTTCTCCTAAGTACATCTTAATCTTATTATATTTGAGTAAACATGAAGAAAACTTAATTGAAGTCTCCAATTCATAATGCTTTAAATTATATTTGTCTTTTTTTTCTCTATTACTTTCATTTTTGTTTTACATTGGATTTTTAAGCTTTTAGGGTTAGTTTTCGAATTTGAATTTTGTTTTCATTGAGATTTGATTCTTTAAAATTTTAATAATTTATAATCTATTATAATTAATATAATTGAGATTATTTAGTTGAATTTGATAAATTAAATAATGAATTAATTTTTAGATTTATACTTGTACTTTAATTTGTGCTTCTAAATCAATTTAATAGGATGGATCAATTAAATCTAATTAATTGGATTATGAATTATTAGAATTTGTAAGAATCTATCTTATGATTCAATTTAAGTCTAGAAATCAATTATAATTACCAAGACAAAGATAATTATTGAAGAATTAATATTTTTCATAAACTTTTCTAATGGTAGTGTACTTCTTTACTGTTTTGATTATATCTACAATTTTATTGTTTTTAATTAGTTTTTAAACATCAAAACTTTAAAAATCTCCTTTGTCATAACTCTTCTACGTTAGAAAAATAAATGTATTATAATGCATCAATACGATGTAGATTTTCTTTAATTACTACTTATTGAATTATTTGATCAGATTTAGATGATAAAATGTTTGAGATAAATATTGTTACTAAAACAAAGTTTTATAAATCAAAATATCAAATACTACGATAATATTAAGTTTCTCATTTCACTAAAAGCATTGAAAGTTTCAAAACCTAGTGGAATCAGATGCAAAACATCTCGAACCAAAAACTAATTGGCTTGTTAATAACAAATAATGCAAAGACCGAAAATTATAAAATTGACAAATTGTGTGTAAATATTACATAAAAGGGTGAGTCATTTGCTCCCTGTCCCATCTACGGTGTTTTTCTGACTGTCAAATGGATTCAGGTCAATTTTTTACTTATAAAGTTATACTTGTCCGTGTCGCAATTAATTCGCACTCGTAGAGTTGATCCATCCTCGTTCTGAATATTACGGAGAAAATCTGAGTTGGTAGGGGATCGGTTAAGGTTTATCTGCTTTAAAAATTTGGGGCAGAGATAGAGATGCGTAATGTAATCTGTACTGACTTCATCCTGTTATAACTTTATATTTAAATTTATAATTTAAAATATTAATACTTTAAATGTATTTTTTTTATTACATATAAAGTTATTTTTTAATATTTCACCAATTTTTATTTTTCTTTTACTTATTTTTAATTTTTTTATCTTTTTTAATATTTTATATCAATTAATTTATTATATTATTTTCTCTTATTTTTTTATTTTTTTACATCTCCTTAATTTCTCCCATCAATTTATTTATTTTTTTAATCTTTTCAATCAATTTGAACACAAAGTAAATTTTTTTCTTTATCTTTTTCTAAATATTTTACATAAATCCTAGTAATAACTAATATTATTTTATTTATAATTTATATTTATTAGGTTTTATTATATCATATTTTTTTATCTTATTATTCTTATTTATCATATATCAAATTTTATCTTAATAAAATAATTGTATTTTAAAGGATTAAAAGAAATTAATAATTTAAAATTTTATTACTTCGAACTAATTAAATAAGAATTAATTTATTAAATATTTTCTTATAAATTATATATCCTATATTTTTAAATGACAACTTAAAAATGAATTAACTTATATATATAATTAAATGTTTGAATACAAGTATTATAATAATAATGTTATAAGTATTCAAATATTTGAATATAATAATAATAATGTTATAAATATTCTCTATATATATATAAATAAAAAATAATTAAATATTTTTTTACATACATATTTTAATATAAATATAATAAATTAAAATGTATATTTAATTAGTAATAATTATAAATTATAAAATTATAAATATTTATTTATATATAAAAAATACATAATAAAATTAATTTATTATAAATGTAATTATCTTTTTAAAAATAATATAGATCGGGGATGGGGCAGAGGCGGGAACTTGAAACCCAGCGGGGACGGGGATGAGGACTTAATCTTTAACCCAGACGGGGATCGAGGACGGGAACGGAGATGATTAAAAAAGTCGATCCGGGAATCAGGAAGACAAAACCTGCCCCCGCCCTACCCGTTCCGTTGCCATGACTAGTCGGATATCCTTTTTTGTTTCAAGAAGCTCAATGTTCATCATAACCTCTTTCTAAAGCAGTCTTCCCATTCTCCTCAATTGTCTCCTTTATCTTCCTCAAACAACAACAAAGATCAACAACTCAACTTCAAAAAATTTCATCAAGTGAGTTTTACTTTCCAAACTAGTTCACTCTAATAGATGAAAAACTCAATTTATAACATTCAATATTTATATATAACATATTCTCATTGTGATGGCGAATTTTGATCAATGATCTTAGGGATTAAATATTATATTATTAATAAATAATAAATAAATATAAAAAGAAGAAAGAAGATAAAAGGGTAAAAGGATAAAATTGTAGATATATACTTAAATATATTAAATGATCATTAAATTTGAGAAAAAATTATAAATTATATGAGAGTTACAAAACTGAAAAGAAGATGAGAGGATAGAATTATAAATATACAATTAAATATATTAAATGTTCATTAAATATAAGTGATCAAAATCATAAATTACATTATCGTTAGAAAATTTTGGAAAGCATGAGCACTCAGCTCACAAAAAGATCGGTCACTTTTCGTATACTTGTATGTTCTCATAATTGTAGCATTTTTTTTTTCATATTTCATTAGTGTGAAGGTCGTTTTTCATTACTGTGTGAGGCTTAGTAAATAATGTTCAGATTTCGATATCATAAAATGGGGAAGAAGTACATAGCCTGCTCTAACTCGCACATGCAGTACCGTATTGACCCGCAATTTTAGGAGAAAGTAAAAATAAAAACTATCATATGAAATAAAATTGTAAAGTAGATAATTTAATGAGTACGAAAAATGTTGTTTGTATGATAATTTTGTAACAATTTTCACCAAAAGAAGTAAGATTTGGAAAGAGAGAGAAAAAAAAAAACTTATTAATGCAAGTAATGGTAATAAAAAATAAATATAGAAATAGTGTTGGTATTCCATTAATGAGTAGAAAGGACTTGGAAAGCTGGCATTGTAACATCTCTCTTTCAGCTTCCATTATTTTATACACGTAGCTATTCAAGGACACTTTTAAATTTCTATTTTTTTAGTAAATTTTAAATAATAATATTTTAAAAAATTCATAAAAAAATCACTACCACTTAATATTATATTATAAAATTTAGTCAAAGCAAATTTATATTATAAAATATTAATATCAATGGAATTAATCATTTTAATAAAAAAGAATTCAAATAAGTGGCACAGCAAAATATAAGTTTAATTAATTTTTAATTCAATAAGTCCAACTAAAAATTATAAACCCATAAAATTAAAGACTAAACAAATGTTAATACTTTACTCATTAAAAAATTGTTGGTTACTTGATTATAGAAGAAAATATCCACATAAAAATCACTACCACTTAATATAAACATATTGTTAAAATATATCTATTAAAAGATTTCATTTTATATCTATTACAAGTTTTGTCCAGAAATATCCAAAGATATAACTTTTTTATGTCATCCTTACTGTTTTTCATGTCGTTGTCATAAGATTACTTTAAAAATAAACGAATATAAAAAAATAAAGCTGAAAAACGAAAATGTTAACTAGAAAGTTTAAGCCCGATGGTTAGAATTAAAAGAATCATCTATAAATGAATTGGTGTTTAGAAGAAGAAGCCAAAACTCTCATAACAAGACTTAGCATTTAATGCTAATCACCTACTGTATATCAATGTATTAAATATTTGTTTTAAAAAATGTATTACATTTGACCCGTCAATTTGAGAGATAGTGATAATTTGGTCCATCAAACTTAAGTATTTGTCTCATCCAACTTTTTAGAAAAACTTAACATGTTATAAAAATTATATATAGCTTTGAGATGATATCAACTATAATAAATATATTTATTTATCTTTATTTATTATATAATCTTTAGTTCTGTTTGAATATTTGTTTTAAAATAATTTGAGAAAATTATTTAAAATTTATTTTATTATTTTAATATTATATTTTAAATTATTTTAACTATTAGAAAAATTAATATAAAAATCATCACAATTTCTTAAAAGTCATTTCTTTTTTGCTGTCTTGAACAAGAGAGAAACTTGTATTCATAGCATACCCTTGTTAACCTACATTAATTCAATTTGCATCACACTTTAACTTTTTAACCCTTATTATAGACAATATTTTTTTTAATAAACGGTGGCTTTTTTTTTCTCCCCTAAGAGTGTGTCAATACAACATATATTATATGTTAGAATTTTTTTTTTTCTCAATATCAACTGATTAAACTTTTTGTAAACAAAAGGCTAGGTATAGTATAACTCAATTCCTATCATGTTCATGTAAAAAACATTGAAAAAAAAATAGTGAGTTATATAATAAAGATATTAAAATTAGTGCAATATTAAACTTAAACTTCTTTTAAACATTTTTTTACACAGTTAATTAGTAATCATATATAAATTCTATTAATAATATAATAAACTTTATTTTTTTTAACACATATATCTTCTGGTATGTTATATATAAGAATGACAAAACGAGTTAATTAATAATCATATATAAACTCTATTAATAATATAATAAACTTCATTTTTTATAACACATATATGTTTTATTATATAAGAATGCCAAAATAAGTTAATTAGTAACCATATTAATAATATAATAAATTTTATTTTTTTTAACACATATATCTTCTTTTATATAGAAATGACAAAACGAGTTACATATAACATATTTACCTCTATAAAAAAAGAGTTGAACGGGTTAGTAATTTTAGCTTATGAACCCGTTCGCTCTAACCCGTTAATTTGATGGATTAAGGACGAAAGAGGTTAGTCCATTAGTCTGTTTTAAAAATATATTTATATATTAAAATATAAAATATTATAATTAAAAATATTATATTTTTTATATTATATTATTAAAATATGTAAATATATTATAATATTATAATTTAAATTATAAAAATTAATTAATTAAATTTAAATTATTAATTATAATTGATTATTTTAATATGTAAATATAATATTTTTTTCAATATATATAATAAAAATACTAATTAATAAATAAAAACTTTAAAAATTATTTCTATAATTAAAGATATACTTTTAAAAAATACATATAAAAAATATAATGGACAGGTTGACGATGCTAATCCTTTCTCACATGATGAGTCTTATTTTTAATAAACTAGAGACGAGATAGACAAAAACGGAGAGGACGAATATTTTGTCATCCCTACTATTGTATCATATATTAATTTCACTTGTAATTATAAAAATCTATAAAATAAATATTAATTTATAAATTAAATATTAATTTCACTTAATGTGAATTTTAATTATTAATTTTAGGATCAAATAATATATTGTTAATAAATAATAAATGAATACAAAAGAATAAAAAAATTATAAATATATAAAGAAATATATTTAATTATTAGGGGGTCAAAATGACCCTTATTAATTTGATTTCTCATAACTATAACTATAACTAATCTCACAATTTTTTTTCCTGCAACAAGAATAATATCTGATATTTCTTTGAGTGAATAGTCCCTACAACAACTACTGGATAGAACATAAATTTGAATATATTATTTTGATGCAGTAAACGCAATGGATCCAGAAAAGATCATCATATTTGGTGTGATCATACATTTTCCTTTTGAAGGGAATTGATGAGACTCTCAAAAGTGTCATTCAATTACCTAACAAAACAGCCTCTCATTTCTTCTCAGCATACACAAAATCACTTTATCAAAATTCCTAGAGACCACAGCCACCAACTGGTTAATAGTTAAAATTAAGTTTAAGGTTGACCATGAAGTAATTAATAAAATCTTCACTTATAATCGTGAAGTAAGTTTGGTTAATAAATCAATCCTCTATTTATTAAACAATTTGTTCACTGGTTTGGTAATTGACAGTGATTAGGTTTTTTTTTACTCACTAATAATGAATAAAAATACTAAATAATAAATCACGAGACTTGTATGGGTAAAAAATGTATTTTTTTTTCAATATTATGTATCTAAAAATATCTCTCTCTATATAAATTTTTTTAAAAATATCTCTCTATAGTAAACAGTATAATTTTATCTCACTGATGAATCTTTAAATAATATGTATGAAATGACTTTAACAAAACAAAAATATTATGATAAAATTATATATATTTTAATAAAAATAATTTAAATATAATTATAATAATTTTACATGATCGAACTTCAATAAATGTTTGAAAAATGAATTGAAATATAAATATTTATGGTTAATTATTATATAATATAGATAGTATGCATATATAGATGTGGGTCTTAAATAGTGATTTGAAATAACTCTGCACCAACCACTTTGAATTTAGCCCCTTGCAACAAGTTAAGTTAAGCATTGAAAGTGTGCAAGTAATAATGGGAAATAATAGAATGTGACTGATCGTCAACTTGGTGAATACTTCTCTTCCATGGATAACATGTGCAAACTGGACCCAACAAATTGAACTTGAAAGAATATAAATTAGATGGTAACACTTTAACCCTACTCTAAGCTGCTAAATTATAGCCGACTAGTTTGAAAGGGTTAGGTACAAGAATGACGTACCTCACAAAAATTATGCTCTTCACGGAACGCAACAACCTATGCCCTCTTCTACCTTAACAATATGTGCCATCACTATTCTTTTATTTCTATGTTTATATATATATATATATAACAATTGAAGTAATAATTATTGTAGGCTTAATTGCTTTTTGAGGGAGAGGATTTAGGTGACCATGTTTAAATTCAGTAAGAGAAGCCTTTTAGATGGCCCCTCTTTTGATTAAACTCACCTGCCTCTTCTTGCTTTCCTCTCCCCTTTATAGCCATCATGTTCCTTCTGTACTTCCCACTCACTCTTCTCTCTCTCTTTCTCTCCACCCATAACAAAATCATCATGGTGCATACAAGGAAGTTCAGAGGTGTCAGGCAGCGCCATTGGGGTTCTTGGGTATCAGAAATTCGCCACCCACTTCTGTAAGATCTTCTGACAACAAACATCTTCTAATCTGAATATATATATATATATATATATATATATATATATATATATATATATATATAGTTAATTATCCTTTGATACATATCTTTCCATCTCAAGTTTAATTTTCACTGTTATTGTCTTTCTCTCTATAGTACATAATTACTGTTGTTGAGGTTCATTTTATTTTATAATTTTCTTTTTGTCGGTATTAATGGTGTAAAATATGACTATTTTTTATATGTTCATAAATACAAAGTAACAATGTTGTGAACAAGACTAAACTACATAACAGTTTTTTTTTTTGTTTTATAATGCAAACTTTAAAGTAAAACCTATTTTTTGACAAAAATGGTATTGAGTATACATATATAATTCAATTTCAAAACATTTTTAACACATTTGTTTTTAAAGATAGTTATTTCAAAGTTATAGTTCTGTAACAATTGTCAGCATTGTCATATTTCTACATTATTGTCACCACCCTTGGTAAGTAATGGGTGGGATTTATAAATTTAAGATTTTGTATTAAATTATTTTGAGTAGTAGAAACCACAACAGTTTTTAACTAAAATATATAAAAGTGACCGTTTTTGAAATTTTCAAAACGTAAAAAGAGAGAGAGAGAAAAAAAAAAGTTGAATAAAAATTTTCCCCCCAACTTAAGATTTGAGTGGGTGCATGAAACAGCAAAAGGAGGGTGTGGCTAGGGACGTTTGAAACAGCGGAGGAAGCGGCACGAGCATACGACCAAGCCGCGATACTGATGAGTGGGCGAAACGCGAAAACCAATTTCCCGATGGTGCAAACCCCGGAGGGTGACCCGAAGACGCTAACACCACCCGACGAGACCCCATCGACGTCAAAGGAATTACAAGAGATTCTTCACGCAAAGCTTCGAAAGTGTGGGAAGCTTCCGTCCCCTTCCATGACCTGCTTGAGGCTCGACCCCGAGAACTCCCACATTGGCGTCTGGCAGAAGCGCGCGGGGCAGCGTTCTGACTCCAACTGGGTCATGATGGTTCCGTTCGGAAAGAAGGATGAAGAAGGTGGAAATGAAAATGAAAATGAAAATGGAAATGGAAATGGAAACAATTCTATACCTAATAATAATTCCTCTAACTCCTTTTCTGAGTGTGATCAGACACAGCAAGTGGGAAGGCAAGAGCTTGTGAGATCAGAGATGGACGAGGAAGAGAGAATCGCGCTGCAAATGATAGAAGAACTCCTCAGCAGAAACTGCCCCACTAGCCCTTCATTTACTAGCATATATTAAGGGGACACAAAAGTTGAAGGTTTTTGGGATCAGTTTTTCTATTGTGCTAGTTGCCTAATAAGTAGAAACACCATAACTTACTACTTCGTTTTCTTCTTGCTTCTGTTTTCAGTCTTCTTGTTCTTCATTTTGCATACCATTTAACGCTTACTTCTAGGATTAGAGGTGTGAATGGAAGGCAAACGTGGTGACTTTCTGTCTCTCTTCACCTTTTCCTTGAGATTTCTAAATGAAAAAGTAAAGAAAATCAAGGAGTGTACGAATATTTCATATTTCATGCAAAAACTATTAATAAATATTTTATACTATGTAATATATATGATACAGTTTGTGTTACCGTACAACTATTATTTCATTTTATATGCAAATATTTATTGTATGTAGACCCAAACGTAGGTTGTCCCAATCACATTGGTTGAGGTTGTTAAAAGATACTTCAAAATCAAGTGGTAGAGCAGATTTCAATCGTGTGATTCAAAATTTAAAATGCACTAACACAAAAGAAAATTATCATTTTAACAGTAAAATGTAGTTGAGTTTCATTCATTATAGATTCATCTTTACTATTACATTTTTTTTTTCAAAAACAAACTGTGCATTAATAATAAACGTAGCTAGGGGATTGTTTCAAAAACAGATTTAATAACAAAAAGAACAAAACAAATTTAAGAATAAGAAAAATAGTTCAATCAAACAAATTAGTTTTTTTATTCTAATTAACATTATTAAATTGATTCTAAATTGAAAAATATATTATTAATCAAGATAAATGAAATTCCTACCTCACTAATTTTTTATTTATTGAAGTAGATTTAGTCAAATAACTTTCCTACATCTAACCAATTATCTTCTGATTTGATCAATCAGAAAATGATTCCAGAAACTTCAAATGAATCACACAATCCAAAGTGATTAATTAATGCACATAACGTCAAATTAATTACACAATCAAAGTGAATATTTAATTCTTGTATTATTGTGATGAGGACTTTCTATGATAATTATTGACATTTTAATGTGATATATACAACCATTTATACACACGCATGTATATAAACATGACATCAAAGTTTACCATTTCTACGTCACATAAATATTTGACATGGAATATTTTACTTTCAGTTTCTCTAGTCACTGAGAAAGGAAAAAAAGGTTTAATTGGACAACTTATTTGACTTCCCTTATTTATGTAATGTCCCTTTTAATTAATGATTTTGTAAAAGAAAAATTACATTTTACATTCCGAGAATATCTTGATAATCCTATACCGATTTCATAAGTGAAAATAAAAATGATTTTTTTAAAATAATTTAACATCATTGATCAAAATAATAATTCTTAACTTATCATTTCAAAACATACATCTTTTTCATAAATATATAATACATATATATAACTTAGACATAATTATCATATTAAAATATAAGTCTTCTATCCAATGACAACTTGAATATAAGTATAACCAAAAGTGTAGGTCAAGAGAGGTTAAAAATAATATATTGATAATAAACTACTAGTCATTAGAGTTATATACGATAATAAGTTGTTCTAACTATCATCGTGTACTATTATTATTTTACGATAACTTTGATAAATAATTCTTAATTTGCCGTGACTTTGACGAATTTCTTAATCTTTAACAAAAAATTAGATGTGGTACATCATCTTATATACAGTTGTATACTCATTATTACTTTTTGATGTCTTTGATAGATAATCCTTAATCTTTGACGAAAAATTAGATGATACATCATCTTATAGATATCTTTTGAGGGAGAAAAATAGATTTCACAATACTTATAAAAGTTAATAATAAAAGATAAAATAAGCTTGTATGTACAAAAACATATATAAGACCGAATGTTTTATACTTGACACTAAACAAGTTATATATAATTTTTTAATAATAAATTATATAAAGATTTCATTATAATGAAGTAAAATAGGCACACAATATCACTCTTAATAATTTTTTTAACTCTTTAATTTAAAGAACTAGTATCATTCTATCATAAATAAGTCTTTTAAGGTAAATTATTATTGAGTTGATGAAAATAATATATCTTAAAAAATCTTACATCATCTTGGATAAACAATGAAATGAATGATAATAGTTATATAATGAACTTAAAGTCTATGATGTTTTGACACACCCAATAAAAAATACGTTAAACTTGTATTTGACTTTTTCTTATATTATTGTAATAGAGTGTTGAAAAGTTTAATTTAAATTCTTAATTTGAAGAGTGTGAGTGTATTTAGGGTTAATAGATATGTGTAAAATTTTTTGAAGTTTTCATGTTATATTCTTAAATATATACTTAAATATATTAAATGATCATTAAGTTTGAGGGGACAAAATCATAAATTATATGAAAGTTACAAACCGAGGAGGGACTGAGAGGATAAAATTGTAAATATACAAGTAAATATATTAAATGTTCATTAAGTTTTGGGGGGCCAAAATCATAAATTACATGAGAGTTACAAAACTTTGGGGGGGCCACAGCCCTCTTCAGCTCTCAAGAAGATCCGCTATTGTACACAAGATATTGAAAGGAATAACTTCTGACATAGAGTTAAGTATTCTCATAGAATAACTACGTTGTTGTGGACAAATTTTAAGTGAGTATACTCTTCATGGTGAAGTATGAATGATTACTGGTGTAGACAATGAAGATAAAAAAAGATTATGTGTTTATTTTAATTATGGTGGAGATTATTGGGTTGATGAGAATAATACATCTTAAAAAGTCTTAAATCACTTTGGATAAGTAATTGAGCGAGTGATAGTAGCTATATAATGGATTTAAATCTATGATGTTTTCACACCCCTAGTAAAAAATGTTAGACAAATGACATCTAGAGGAGGTGAATAGATGCACAAATTAAAATAGATGTCAAATTAAAAATTTATTTGTGAGTCAATAATTTGTTTGAATACAGATAAAGCGGAAACGATAATATAATCAGGAAAAGAGAAAGAGATAAGGGAAAGAGAAGAACACACAGTAATTTATATTGGTTCGGGTATAGCCAACCCTACATCCAGTTCCCAGTCAACTCTTAACACAAAAGTGACTCTCAATTCACTATCTTTCTAATTCAGTTTACAAATTACAATCAACTCAGTAAAAAGTAAACTAATTAAAAAGACAATCACCTCCTTAGAAACCCACTAAGGATGAACACCTCCCTAGCATCTCACTAGGGATGAACACCTCCTCTGAACAAATCAAAGGATGAAAACACCTCCTTATAATTCCACTAAAGATGAACACCTCCCTAGAATCACACTAGGGATGAAAAACACCTCCTTTTCACCAATACAAAAAGGATGAAGGTAATAAAAATAAGAACAGACACACCTGGGTAATGGAGACAACAAATTGTAGAAGCCTGTAGAATGTCAATCTCCAAGAACAAGTGTGATTAACAATGAAAGCACAGAAGACAGTAGAGAAGAGGGTTTTCTCAAAAGGTGTAAAATATCTCTGCTGCCTTACTTAGGATTCTTTTCTCAAAACTGATTGAATGTAAATTATATTTTCAAATTCTGTAACTATGTGTTTTTGATTTTTCATCAAAACTTAATTAAATAGAAAAATAACATCACAAAATGGTCGTTGGACATTAATAATATCATAAAGAAAATCAGGATGTATTTAAAAACATTTATTCTTTAAAACAGATATATTTTTTTAAATTTGAATTGCCATAATTGATTATATTACCAGTATAATCAATTATGATAGAGAAAATAATTTTTCCATTTTTGATGCATCATAATTAATTATGACAGTGAAAAATATTATGTTATGAATTTTATCACACTTGTACTTTGAAGGCTTATGCATAATATTACTTCATCAACTTGTACCTCCATATCCAGTATTCTAAGACTATCTAGTCTTCAGGAATCATCTTGGGCTTGCTTGAATCATTATCTTTATCAAAAACATATCTTGGGCATGTAGGGAAATGTTTAACATTTTCACTAACGTCATAAATTCAGCTTGTCCTTAATTCATCTTGAATGGTGTTGACTTGAATGTAGTTGACTTGAATCATCATCAAAATCATCTATTGGGAATATAAGGACATTCCATCAATCTCCCCCTCATTGCTTTCAAAAAACACTATTGTATTTGATTTTTTCTTATACTTTTGTAATAGAGTCTTGTCTTTGAGAGTGTGAGTGTATTTGAGGTCAAATGACATGGGAGAGTAATTGATGTGTTGTAAAATTTTTTACGTAATATTATTCTCTAGTTATTATTAGATAACGATCATGATTTTTTTATCAAATTTTGGAGTTTTCATGTTATAATAAGTAATTTTCAATAATAAAGACGATGATGTTTTTCGTGACTTTTTTTTTCCATAAATTATTATAATAAAGTTGATTCTCAAACAGATAATATATAAATTAATTTTTGATTAAAAAAAAACTCACTTCACAAATTACAATAAAGAATATTCTATAAAAAGAAAGTCTAACATACTTTAGACTTAAAGAAAGGAATGCGAGCATACTTGGTTAAAATTATCTTCTTTTATTTTTTGTTTCTTCTTCTCTATATGAGAGCATTCATTGTGATACTTGTAATTGTTACGAAGTCAAAATTTTATGCATTCTGACATATATGCATACTTTTCAGATATATAATACAACAACTTCAAGACATGTAAGAGAACAATGCTAGGAAAGATGAAGAATATTTTATAAGTTGTCAACTTTTTTTTAGGATATTTATGATTACATTAAGAGGAATGTATTTATTTTTCACTAATCAACCTTGACAGTGCTGATTTTTATTTAGACGGGTGAATATCTTATAGTGTGGAGTATCTAATCATCAAGAGATGAAATAACCTTTTTATACTATAAACAACACATCGTGATGATGGGAAGCTTTTATTGAGACTTATATGATCAGTTGATGATAATAACATTATTTAAATTTTTATTCTTTGATGCACAAAACTTATTTATATTG